CCCTCTTCAGCTTTCTTTTTCAGCTGGGCACCTCTGATACATGCAGAAATGTTCTTATAATCTTTGTTGTCATTTCACTGAGATGTGTCTGTAAGAAAACATGATCAAAGGTTTTTTAGATGCCTAATTTGTGCAGTGATGTAAACACAAAACAGCAGCTTGAGTACCTCAGCCTTCTCCATACCCCTGGTAACCAGGTCTCACGGTTCCTTTCGGAGAGGGCCCACATTTTCCCCAGTCTTCCTTTTATCACTGACATACTATAGAAGCTTTTCTTTATGTTCTTGACATCCCTGGGCAGACTTAATTCTCTCAGGGCTTTGGCTTTCCTAACCTGATCCCTTGATGGCTTGGACAATATCTCTGTGTTCCTCCCAGCTTACGTGTCCTTGCTTCCACCTTCTGTAGGCTTCTGTTTTATGTTTGAATTTGTCCAGGAGCTCCTTGTTCACCCACACAGGCTTCTTGGTGTTTCTGCCTGACTTCCTCTTTGTTGGGATGTATTGCTCCTGAGCTTGGAGGAGGTGATCCTTGAATATTGAGTCCCCATCCACCTAGGCAGTCTCTGGTGCACCATCATGGTGCAAGCTCCCCTGTAGCAGTCCCCTTTACCTGCAGTGGCTCTGAGTACATCTGACTCCCCTCTGTTTCTGCTTTGTTCATGAGCTGCTTGCTGGGCTCTGTTCCAGAAACTGCTGGGGCCTCCTTTCTTCTTTGCTGCTGCTCCCTGTGGTGCAAGGGAGGTAGCTTTGGACCGGGGACAGGGCAGTTGCTGAGCAGAAGAGGGGAACCTCTCATCTGCATGAGGCCTTCTGGGCTCTCAACTCTCCTCTGTCTGTTCTGACTCTGTCCTTCTTGGTTCTCCATAGGGCACTCTGCAGAAGTTTGTGGATGACTTGTTCCAGGTGATCCTCAGCACCACCCGCCCTGTCCCTCTGGCAGTCAAATACTTCTTTGACCTGTTGGATGAGCAGGCCATGCACTATGGGATTGCAGACCCAGAGACCATCCATATCTGGAAGACAAACAGGTATGGTGTTCCCGTGGGCCCCTGAGGAGGCACTGCTAAGCTTTCTGGAGGTGAGCACATGCAAAGTGACAGCCACCTTTGCCTGCTGACAAGGAGCCAAACGGGAGTGCAAGGCACCAGAGCATGGTGGGAGAAGCTGCTTTAGCTGGGAGGGCAAAGCTGGGAGACACAGCCATTTGCAGAACATCTTTCAGCACTGTAGCTGCTACCTTGGCTGAGACCCTGTTGCACTCCTGCCTTCTCTGCAGCCTGCCCCTGCGGTTCTGGATCAACATCATCAAGAATCCCCAGTTTGTTTTTGACGTGCAGACGTCGGATAATGTGGATGCTGTGCTCCTGGTCATTGCACAGACCTTCATGGACTCCTGTACGATAGCTGACCATAAGTTAGGGCGGGTGAGTACAGAGGGAGAAGGGAGCACGGCTGGCACAGCAGGTTGAGCAGTGCTGCCCCAGGGAAGCTGTCACGTTTCTGTAGCACCACTGGGAGAGCAGGCCAGGCCCATCCTTGCTCCCATGTGCCACTGGAGTGCTGGAAAGTGACGGGGACTGTTGGGAAGAAAGGAGAGAAGAGATGATGTTGTTTAACATAGAAAAGGAGTTATTGAGAAGTGCTTTTTATTTACAGCTGCTTGGGGGACTGAGCTGAACTCTAGTTAGATGTGGTGTAGACAGTGTAAGTCACAGGATGCTTCTTGGCAGATTCAGGTTGGCCATTAGAAAAACTCTCTGCCACGACTACTCACTCTATGCCGTGGGTGGAACAGTCCCGCACCAGTCACCAGGGATGGGATGAGTGGATCTCTGGAGGATTTCAGGAGTCAGCTACACAGAGCCATAGCCAACGTGATCTGATACTGGTGATCACCCAGGTCCAAGTGGAAGGCTAGACTAGGGATCTCAGAGGTCCCTCCACCAACACATTTCCTGGTTCCTCAGACTGCATTACTAGAAGGGAGCCTGGTATCTGCAGGGTTTCTCCATGCAGAGGATAAAAATTCCTGACCCTGCATGACTGACAGAAAATAGCAGTGATGGTGTTACCTGCTAAGTTTAGTCCACAGCATGGTGTGAAGGAAGTTTTTGTAACCAATTCTGGTTTTGGATGTTCAAGGATTCTCCCATCAATAAGCTGCTCTATGCCCGGGACATTCCTCGCTACAAGCAGATGGTGGAAAGGTGAGCCATGAAGGTGGGGAGTGGTCGTTGAGCAGTAAAGAAGGGGGCTAGGAGGAGCAATACACTAATTGCCTGTGTACCACTCTACAGGTATTATGCAGACATTCGTCAGACCATCTCTGCCAGTGACCAGGAGATGAACTCTGCCCTGGCTGAGCTATCACGGGTAAATAAAACTATTTCAGAAGTCCACCTGTCCCCTCACCTGTCTAGCTAAGAGAAAGCCAGTAATGCAAAGAGGAGAGATTCCAGCTGAGTGAGCAGTTCTGCTCAGATCTTCTGACCATTCCCAGTGGCTTCTCTGCTTTGTGGCACCACTGGGAGGGTGAGGGTCTGCCCAGCTATCACTGAAAAGAGTACGTGTGGGTTTTTTTCTTTTCCTTTTTTTTTCCCCTTCACTATGAGCTTCTGGGGAGTTCCCCTTCCTGTTGCTTTGTGCAGCCAGCACATTTCCTAATGAGTTGTGAGGACACAGATTTTAGAAGAACAATTGTTAGGTGTCTCATGGTTCTGTCTAACTTCCTTTCTTATATTCAGAATTACTCAGGTGACCTCAATTCCCTGGTGGCTCTACATGAATTGTATAAATACATCAATAAGTACTATGACCAGGTGAGTGTGTGCTTCTAACTGAAAAACTCCAAAAATTAATGTGTAGCTAGGTTATTACAATGCTGTGTATTGTTTCATTGGCATGCATAACTTCCAGGTCATATGTTTGCTTTATTCTTATCAAAGGAAGAGGGAGGAAATTGCAAAAAAGGACTTATGTCTAACTCAGAGGCTGTTGGGATTTCGTGTATGCTGCTTCTGGTTTTTTAACTTTGGGTATCCAAATAGCCTACTTGAAAATGAAATGCAGTTAGTTCAGATTAATCTACTAAAGCAAGCATTTCCAGGAGAAAAGTTTAGCATTCTTTTTGCACACTGAAGTTATTAGGACTAATCTAGAATACTTATTTTGTTCTTAATTTGAGATTAATTACTGTATACTCACTCTAGTCTTGAGCATGCTAGAGTCCAGCTTGAGGCTCTCCACTGTGCATGGAGTCGAGCTGGTTGGCAGTGGTGTGTGCTGGAGGAAGGCTGCCAGTCAGCTCTGTCTGTCTTGTTGCAGATCATTACTGCCTTGGAAGAAGACCCCACGGCACAGAAGATGCAGCTCGGTTACAGACTGCAGCAGATTGCAGCAGCTGTGGAGAATAAAGTCACGGATTTGTGACAGGCACAGACAGACTGCTCTCCCCTGGCTGAACGGGCACCGTGCTCGTCCCACCCGTACACAGGGTGTCCTGCTCCCATTGGAACCGGGCTCTGCAAGGAACCCGTGGGTGACATGAACAGGGATGGCCAAGGCAGTACAAAGTACAAGCGGCCTTGCATCTCAAAGAATATTTTTTTACAGTTTTTTCTTTTTAAAAGCAAAACAAAAAAATAAAACTTTGGGTTTCCTCTGGCAGACTGTCAGGGGGACCACACAGCTCCTTCCTGCAGTTGTTACGTGAATGTGCCAAGTTTCCAAACGCTGTTGAAGAGCCAGGTGACAACCCCGAGCACCAAGTCTGTGGAGTCCTCGGCGTGCACGGCTGCCCTTGCTGCCTCCGGGAGACTCCCCTGCTGCAGCCGTGCTCTTCAGTGGGGACACAGGAAGCTTTCCCCAGGCCGACAGCTGTGCTAACATCTGTCCCTGGCTAGCAAGCACTCCTGCAGTGTCCCACCCAAGAAACCTCCTTGCAGCAATGTTCCCACTGGTTCTGGATGTTTGATGTAGAAAGGAGAGTATCCAATGGTGAAGGTCTCTTGCTCCTCAGTGTTCTGGTCTCTGACAGCTTGTGCACGACACCCACTTGGATGTAAGGTGCTCACCAGCACGCACGTTTGCCATGGGGCCTCCTGAAATTGGACAGCACCCTCTCGCCTTTCCCCTCAGGACAAATCCAGCATGTGAGAGTCGCTGCCTGGCTTGCCCCGGTCTCTGCTGACCCAGCTCGGGACCCATCTTCCTCATTCCTTGCAGTCAGAGGCTGCCCTGCTCTCTGGAAAAGCACAACAGATGCCTTGTGCCACTCCCCCTTCCTCCGGTGTCTAGCTGTTCTGCTGCTCTGAACTGGACTTGTAAATACCCTCAGAAAGTTAATGTATTTAAATGCTAAAGGAGAATGTTTAATTTTGTGGCTTTGAGACAAAGCTTTTCTTGGAGAAGTATCTCTGTGCACTTCTACTGACAAACGTCTGTCAGCACTGGAGCAAGGTTTTCTCCACTGCTTTGTCTGCAGGGATAACTCGTAGATGTCTCCGTTGTCGTAACAGCAGCTTGCTTTTCCCCGCGGCTCACTTCAAGGCTTGGCTGTGTGCTCCTCTGTCAGGCTTGCCTTACACCTTACTCACAGTTTCACTTCCCAAACTCTCCTGTTGTGGCACATAGAAGGGTTATTTGGAGAGCTGTGAACTCAAGGAAGCCACGAAGCACAACTGTGTTGTTCCCATGGAGTGTCGGGTATCCTGCAAACAGGAATGATTCGCATGAGGAAGGAGACTCTGGAGGAGGCACAAGCACAGTTAGGTGCCAGCTGTCACTGGGCAGCTTCTCACTGCTCCCTCCTCAGTCCTGCGCCTTATGAACAGAGCGCTCTGCCCTTCTAGGAGCAAATTCCTATTTACAAGGGCTCCCTGCTCGTTCTCACTCCCTGCTGCTAATTCCACACTGATGTCCTGTGTGCCTGGGACAGGTAGACAGGTCCAAGTCCTCTGTCGCTTCCCTGAGGTGGTGACTGTGCAGGCCAGGAGGGACCAGAGCTAAGACAGGGCAGGATCATGTCCCTACCTCTCTTTGCGTGGCATGTATCGGTAATTCCAGGTCTACCAGCTCAGCCCTGTGGCTGCACAGTTGCAAAACTGTTCTCTGAGCCATATAACAAGTCAATGCTGCCCTCTCCTCCTATGGCCTATGGAGCCAGCTCCCTCCTGTGACCCTCTCTGAGCAGTATTCCCAGGTACTCTGTGTGCCCAGAGTACAGCCAACATCCCTGCGCCACGTCCTGCTCCTCTCCTGCTGTTCGGAGCAGCAGGTGAGCTGGCTGGCTGGTGCCAGGACAAAAGGGCTGCTGGGGAGGCAGGATTTGACTTTCTTCCCCTGTGGTGGGCACCCAGTTGGGTCTCATTCCTGCCTGACCACTCACTTCCACAACACTTATAGGAAATTAGCATCTCTGAAACCTCTGTCTCAACCAAATCTAATTAAATCATCCCAAAAAAAGCTGGGTGGAGGAACGGACTGGCAGATGGGAAAAAGCTGATCCAATACACATTAGTAAAGCCCATCCCCTTAGGAACTGCATGAGGAGAGTCCTTGTTTTCAGGTAGGTGCAGGTAGAGTGGTAGAGTAGCATTGTCCCCATGTGCGTTGACAGATGGATGTCCTGCCCCAGGCAGCAAGGTGTAGTTTGTGGCCTCTCTGACTTGCTGAGTGTCTGCCAGGGGCCACAGGCTCTCCACTGGATTTATGTCTCTGCAGACTGTTAATGTCTGCCTCTATTCTGCAGAATTAGCTTTTCATTTTCCCAGAACAGGGTGGCTTGGGGGCTTAACTCTGAATCCACCTCACGTTGGCCAAGGGAGGAGGACTTGGTGGCTCTCCGGGAATTGTAGAGACAGGAGTCCCTGCATACGTGGCTGACTTAGGTCACAGAGTAAGTGGGCTCCACATCCTCTGCGTCTTAGTACTGCTCCTGATGTTGGGAATGATCTGCTTTTATCAGAGCAATAACCAGGACTTAAAAATAGAGCAAAACATAGGTGATTGATGTACTTAACGTCTTCATCTCGTCCTTGCATAGCTGGACAGGAGGCACTGCCCAGCACAGGTGCAGTGAGGGTGGAAAGCTGGCAGTGCCCAGCTCTTCCCATCCGTCTGTCCTCGGTGTTCAGATACCCCTGCGGACACGCACTGAGGGCCCCTCGCTGGGATCAACCTGGGCTTTAGGGATGGCCCCTCTTCTCTCCGTCCACCCCCCACCTCCTGTGGCAAAATCCAGTACTATGACAGGATTCTGTTGCATTTAAATTTGCACAAAACAGGTTTTATTATTAGATTCCCTGTTGCAGGGGAGACTTATTTATTTATTTCTCACAATCCTTCCAAGTTTCTTCCAGTCTCCGCCTGATTCCATGACCAGCTTGTCAGACACTCTGGAGACGGATGTTCCTTCTCAAGGACAGAGAATCCCCTCTGGATGTTCTCGTTTCCTTACAGGTAGCAGGTTCTGTGGGCACCAGCTGAGAGTGCTGTGCCGCAGCGGCCGTTCCCCTTCTGCGAGGCACAAGTGCAGCACGGGGACGTCGCTGCTTTCGTTGTGTTCTCAGAAAGATGACGGTCTTGAATGGCAGGCATTGAGCTTTACTTAGTGCCCCGGGCAGAGACAGAAACTTGCTTCTGCCGTGGTGCGGAGGAAACGCCAAGAACTGATCAGTATTAAGATAAATATCCGTTCATGTATTTGAATGTCTCTGCTGTTGGCACAACTAAGAGCAGCTGGCACCCACGCAATGTTGATGCGAGAGCTCTTGCTTTCACCTGTCTGGTGGCAAATTTAGCCTGTACCTGGAAGCTGCTTTTTTTTTTTTTTTTAATAGAAGTGATGGCTAATTTTTTAAAGTGAAACTAGAGGGTTCTCGGGTGCTGCTGCCTCGGTGCAATGCCATTTCTTTTTCAGGGTGTGCCCCGGTTGCAGTGAGATGCTGCTTTTTTGGTGCCTTTCTTGTCAGGATGATTCTTTTGGTTTCCAGAACACCCAGTGCATTTGCTCTAATAGTCTTTCTCCTGGTCCTCTGTCCTGGCAACTCTGCCCTCTCCCAGCCCTGTGACTTGGTGTCTTTCTGTTACGGTATGGCCCGACCTGCATTTATGCCCTGCCACACCTTGAGTTCTGCTCAGAGCACCTGAGGTACTGTCTTTCTCAAATTGGAATTAATAATTAATATAAAAAGCTTGAAAAAAAAATCTGAATTTTGTTACATAGTGTAATAACTGTTTGTAGATATTGTTCTGAGATGTAGGAATCTATTGGTGATATAAGAGGTTTTGTCTGTAAATAATCAGTTTAGAGCCCAAATGATTTTAATAAAGAGAATTCTTACACAATAATTCAATAAATTTTAATATACAACCTGCCTGTTATGCTTGTGTTCCACGATGACGGAATTCCCCAGAATCTGTCTCCTAAGTGGAAGCTGTGTACTCCTGAGCAGCAGGACCCGGGAGCCATGCCGGGAGCGTGGGGCTTTTCCCTCCCTCCCCGTCCACAGTCGGCAAGATGCCGGCTGTGGTTCTTCAACTTAACCACAGTTATCTTGTGGTGATGGCTACTACCTGGTGGATTTCTGCAGTTTCCAGGGCAGGAGCAGGGCTGCAGCTGTGAGCATTGGTGGCACCTTACAGCTCCTGTCATGGTTTCCCACAGTGGGTAAGTGGGGAGGGGGCTGCTTAAGGTCCAGTTTAGGTTGATGGCTGTTCTCCACCAGCGTGAGGCAGGAGTTCCCCAATTAGAAAAACAACTTAATTCTTTAATGGCACAGTTCTTCCCAGACACGGGCTGGCTCACAGCCCATCTATCCAGCCTTTCCCTC